ACGAAATTTTCCAAATTAATGTCTGTCATACAAAAAAAAAGTGCTCAAAATTGTATATGTTATTTTACTAGTTCCACTGATATAAAGAGAAACATGATTTTTTTAATCAAAATTTAGAATGTTCTAAAGAGAAGGAAAAATTTTAAAAAATAATTTTAAAAAAATCTTTGGTTTTTTTTCTCTTCATAATAACATAAATATTTAGAGGATAAAATTTTGTTTTCGTCAAGTTTGGTGTCTTTTTCAGCATGCTATGCTCTTTTTTAGCAATCTCATGGACATACCTATCTTAACGTAAACAATGACAACATATTATGAAATGGATAAAGTCCGGCATTTTTTAAATATATTTTCTGTTTCGACGTTATTTTTATAGATATAATTCATTTAATTTAAAAAAACAACAAAAAAAAACAGTGTTAATTACATTTAGCAGCATGAATTTAAACAAATTGCATCCATTAAAATAACGTATACACAGAAAATTGATTAAGTAATTCTTGGACTTTATATATATATATATATATATATATATATATATATATATATATTCTGAAGCGGCATAGTCTGACGTGCTATAACATATATATATATATATATATATATATATATATATATATATATATATATATATATATATATATATGTATATATGTATGTATGTGTTTTCCGTCAATAGATTTCTTTATTTGACTAATGTCTTTTTTTTTTTTGCCTCTGGGTAAAGCAACTCGGAGTCCTTCTTTTGTTTCAACCTTTTAAAATAATTTAAATACACTTATTAGACTATTAATTTTCCCCTCCTCTTTCATTTCCTACACTCATCAGCAACTCTCTTGCTCTGGCTTTTTATTCCCCTCTCTCTCTTTTTCTTACTCTCTCAGTTTACTATTTTACTCTTTTCTGTTTCTTACTCTCTTAATCAATTGACTATATCTACTCCCTACTCTCTCAAATCCTTCTCACAACCACCTGACTTTCTCTTCGCCTTTCCATTCCCTCCTCTCTTAATCAACTGCCTATCTTTCTATTCTCCTCCCCCATCTTTCATACTCTCTCAATCACCCACATTCTCCCTCCTTCTTACTCTTTCATCACAATGAATGTATCTTTCTCTCTTTCTTTCCTACTCTCTCAATTACCTGTCTATCTCTTATCCTCCATCCTTCCTACTCTTTCAATCACATGACTATATCGTTCTCACTTTCTTTCTTACTCTCTCAATTACCTATCTATCCCTTCTCCTCCCTCCTTCCTACTCTTTCAATCACATGACTAGGTCTTTCTTTCCTACTCTCTCTATCACATGTCTTTGTTCCTCCCTCCTTCCTACACTTTCAGTCATTGTCTCTTTCTCTCTCTCTTTTCGACTCTCTCAATTACCTATCTCTTCTCCTCCCTCCTTCCCACTTTCTCAATCACCTGACTAACTCTTTCTCAATCCCCTTACTCTCTCTTCTTCTCCTCCCTACTCTTTCAATCATTTGATTTTTTATTCTCCTCTCACTTTCTTTAATCTTTATAATCAACTCTTCTTTCTTTTCCTTCTCCCTCAATTTATCGTTACTTTATATCTAATTCCCTCCTTTCCTATTCTCTCAATGAACTATTCTTATATTCTCTTCTCCCTCCTCCCCTACTACTTTTTCTCAGCTCTTTCAATCAAATATATAACGCAAGTAAATTAACACCGGGGTGAATATTTCAGATTTGTGTTGAATAAGATGACAGATTTTTTTTATTTGTACATTCGACATGAAAGTGTCAAGAGTCCTTATTGCCGATAAATGCCGAATCTGAAGTATTTCGGTAACCGTCCAAATAGTAATTGAGACGCGGTCATTACTACTTGGCCGAGAAGGCTCCAGAGAAGCCTGCATTTAGCAGAAGTGGACAAGATCTTCTCAAAAGTGATTGGGGCTTCAGTTGAAAGTAAAGCCTCGTCTAAGTGTCTAAGTGAACATTCTGAAGGAGCTAGATTCATGGACTTCATTATCAGCGCAATGAAGCGGCGAGATCCTGAAAATCTTTTTGAGGCAACGTCCAGGGCGCTTGGGATAGAAATATCGCAGTTATGCTCATCAACTGGAGATCACAAATAGGATGATTCACTTCTGGGATATTTGATATTTAATTGTTTGGTACAAAGTAGAAACAAAGAAACAGCAATTCGAAATGAGAGATGAGGTTTTAAAACAAGCTGATTATACGCCGCTCAATAGAGATGCTATAAATCTCACTAAAATTAATGTTAAGAAAATGACTTCGTCAAGTCCTATAATTTTTTATCCTTGTATGTATATAGATGGCAACTCTTATTCGAGTATAACTGTCAATCAGGGCGGCTAGCCAATCCCTGTTGTAGACGCGTGCTCAGGCGCATTTGTGTTTATTTAACACCCACAGAGCCAACCTGTGGTGTATACTGCAATTATGCTGAGTAGACTTTAAAGTTTCTAGAAAGAGCGTGATATCTCCCGTGATCAATAATTTGAACAAGGCCTGCACACTCAATCCCTCGGTCGCGATGACTTGTGACTTCGTGCTTGCACAGCTATCGACGGCCCCCAAAAGTTCCCTCTACCCAATTTCACTCACAAGGCTTGAGTCAACTCGTGGTATAGTTTTCATACACTCTCCAAAGGTGTCGCACGTTGGAATCGACGTAATCAAGAACATCAGGAAGTCTGACAAATGATGGTGAGATTTGAACCCGGATCTCATGGTCAGGATGCGAACGTCCTAACCATGTGCCCATGAATTTTTATCTTTACGGTGAACAAAACGATATGAAATTCCTATCATTCTGAAGTTGCATATGTGTTATGAAAATATTCGTTTATAAAAGTATTCTATTGTCAATATCAACGATTATATTTGAATATCTTTGAAATGCTGTTTTTTTTTGTTTTGTTTTTTGTTTTGTTGTTTTTTTTTTTTAGAGAAAAGGAGGGGCAATTGCTATTTTCGAAGAATGTAAAAAAAATAAAATGTAATCTTTTCAAAATTTTTAAAACCGTTATTTGTCGCGTTTCATATTTCTTATTACTTTAAACATCATATTTAATGATTTGATTTGATTTGTTTAACGGCTTATCAACTCCTTCATGGGTCATTTAATGCCGAAATTTAACTTTCCAGAGAGCTTTGAAGTAAAAAAAAATTATATATGTTGTCTTGTTTCACAATTGAATACATGGTAGATGATTCTCAGCTTTAGTGTATACACATGTTTGTGTGGACATCATTACTAAAGGCAGAGATATGCGTGTTTTACGTTTCAGTTTTGTTGAAGTTCTATTTTGGAATACAGTTTGACTTTGTAGTGGATCTAAGAAGGATGCGTGAATATTAAAGATTGTGCTGTAAATAAAATATCCAAAAACATAAATTATAAGAAATGGCCAAACGGTAACGATATTCAATCACGACAAAAAATACATGTTTGAAACAACAGATTAAATTTTATATACACAATTTACAATTTCTTTGTAATGTGTGCAAAGGTATAAAGAAAAAGTTATTTGCTGTTTCAGAAATGTTCAATGTCTAAAGAGTTGTCTGCCTTTGATTAAAAGGTTGAATTTAACTTAGACAAAAGATTTGAAAGATATTAAGTGAAAAAGTTTGTTGTATGAATTTTTCTAATCTTTCATAAAGAAAGTTTGTTTCTTTGGCGGCAATTTTGACACATAATCCCCGTGGGTATCTTTGCGTGTGTGAGTCTCAAAATGCGACGAAAATTTGTTTCCTGTTTCTATTTATATTTTTTTTTTTTTTTAACAGCAAAATCGGATCCAGCAGCTTGGTAGATTGTTACGATTTTTTCTGATAAATACGTGGGCGACTGTCGCATTTTTAAAATTTTTTCTCCAATAGGATTTCTTGAAACATTTAAATTAGGGATAAATTTGAGAAAGTTTTTTTTTTGTATGTCAGTTGATCCTACTTTTGCACAAATTTCGACTGTTCTGTTATGTAAATTTCTCGAAGTTTATTTTTATTTAACAACCAATGAAATTCAAGAAAATGTGTGAAAATTGAAATGAGGGTTACTAAAATCCCTCCCCCCAGATTTGGAAGTGGCTACACTTACAATATGTATTAATATGCATAGTATGTTGCAAATCTAGTAGTTTATTGGTGACCCCGACGTGATAGGCTGTAAATTGAAGTGCCGATGAAGTAAGCCAATAAAGTTAGTAGGAGTACCAAAAATTTTAAAACGTCGGGTTACCAATAACTTCTTTAGTAAATTGTAGGATATTTTATGGATTAATGTCCTGAAAGAATTTTTTATGTTAGTTTTTTGGTTGATGTTTAGCGGAATATCAATCTCTGTGGGTTAATGCCGAAATATAAAAAAAATGAACAATTTTATAGCATCAAATAAATATATTTTGAACGGAAATTGTATGCTTTCAGCTGCTGATAAAATGTATTGTTGGTAATTTTTGATATAAAAATGAATTGCTGGCATTTACTATAAAAATGTGTTTTGTATCCTTTCATACTGTTTTGTTTTGTTTGCCCATAACTAGGAACCAAACAGGTGCTACCACCCCGGGTCACAGTGAACCTGGGAACAACAGCAATTAAGAGGTTCCACGCCCCTTAAAAACATTAATCCAATCAGAGGCCTTGCTGCCGAATGTAATTTATCGTCATACCCAGGACTAGATATTTCATGGATGCAAGTACTTGACTGGTTTGTTTTGCTAGGCTTATCAATCTTTTGCGGGTCATTTAAAACCAGAAAACATTTTAGGTTGTAAGTTTTTTTGGGTTTTTTTTATGGAAGGCGGAAAGATAATAATGATTTAATGGTACAAGTTCTACTAATTAACGCGTGGGTAATTAATAAAAAAGAGATGGTTTCATGCCTTTCCAAATAGTATTTGGGCTTAAGCGAATATAACAAACCCGACATGAATTGAAACTCGGCTCCCCGATTAGCAATTCCTAACCATTATCTATTACACCACCCACACGCCCGTGTTTACAGCTTCTCACATTCGCAAGCATTCACCTATCTAGGCACTGACCAGGCTCGTTGGTGCTTAACTTTGCTGATCGAACGGGAACTGGTGCTTCAACGTGATATAGCTGTATACCACAGGTATTTGAGTTGATATTCCAGTTTTTGAAGCAGCCCAAATCAGCATGTACGTTCATGAGTTTTAATATTGCAAAGAATTTTAAATTTAGTTTTCGTTATTCAAATTCAAATTTATTAAACAAAGAAAAAATGAATCATGCAAAGAGTTAAAAGCATTAAACAATAGATAATTTTTTTTAAAAATGATAATAAAATTTAATTTTGTATTCTAAAATTAATTTTAACCGAATATTTCAGTAGCTATACACCAGAGTATTGTTATATGTGGGAACGATTTATTTGCATAAACCATTACTTGATACATGACAATATTTTAAAAAATGTAGTAAGGCGCCTTAAAGTAGATAATGGTCCGTTATCATATATCATATATACAAAGATGAAACGTTGTGCAGGTTAACTAGATTCCCAGCCCTTATTATCGTCGGCTATAATCTTAGACGGTTGCTTCTACCTCGTTTCAATCTATAATAAAATTATTTACTCCAACGACATTACTATTATTATTATTATTATTATTATTATTATTGCGAGCTGCTTCCAAGTTTGAACCAGAAACGTCAAGAGACCCCAACTTAACAGATTGTAGAGAACCGGGGGGGGGTGTGAAGATGTAAAGAAAACACGTGCGTTTATATTTCCTGCTAGAAGAAGGTCCTGCAACAATAGAATGTTGGACTTGGATTAAGTCCAACTGAAGATAAGGAAGACAAACTGATGTGAAGAAAGGACAAACAAACAAGACCGATATATATATATATATATATATATATATATATATATATATATATATATATATAAACAAATATATGTATTAACAAAGCATTTACAAATCACATAGTTAATATTGTGTTTGTGTGTGAACGTATGTATGTGTGTGTAAACGTTCATATTAGTGGCGAATGTTCGTGGTGAATGATCATAGTGAATGTTCGTACGTACGTTTATGAGAGAGAGAGAGAGAGAGAGAGAGGGGGGGGCAAACTCGTGTTTGTTATTTATTGGATCAGGAGTGCTGCGCAGGAAAAATAATTCTCCACACGCAGAGAATCTGACTGGTCGACACTGACCAATCAGTGCATGAGTTTTGGGGAGACTTCTGGGAGCCGATTCTCCCAAAAGTGCACAAAATTTACTATATGAAAATATAGCGATTCCAAAATTGTCGCATAAGATAGCAGCGCTGATTTCTATCCAATGAATGATTGTTATTGAAATTTGAATTTGTAGGGTGTGTGTGTGTGTGTGTGTGTGTGTGTGTGTGTGTGTGTGTGTGTGTGTGTGTGTGATGATCGACATCACCATCACAAGATCATGATTGTTGCTACAGCTGGTTGGATATGAAGCTGACATTACCAGCATAAATATTCTTAATTCTATGACGTCATTATAATGTATATATTAGTCTAAGATTTCATTAAATGATATATGTCTGTTGAACACAGTTATGAAATTATAACACGTGCATAAAATTCAGTAGAACGAACTTTTAAAAATATGAAAAATAAATCATTAACACTATTTGCATTGTTCAAACTGTTGTCCTCATCTTTGTTGCCCTAGTCACTACGTTTCGACCGTTGTACGCGGCGACTTTCTTAAAGTGGTTGGAATTTCGAACCGAACCCTTTATTTCGTCCACCGAGGTAGATTGTTCTAGTTCCACGTGGATAAAAACGTTGCTTGAATCCAGTCACTTGTCCCAAAGAGCTGTGTTAACGGTCGACAGCAGAGGTGAACAAAAACTTGAAGAGTGAGTTAAAAGGGAGATAACTGTTACTAAGATATCCAGAAGAATATTTGCAGAAAAATATTTCCGTTATGCGAAGCGTCCAAAGAGGAATGACTCGTGAAATAGTGGCTGTGTCCACATATGGTGCGTGCTTAAGTAGGGCTGCTTGGTAGGAACAAAAAGGGCTCCGACTGCACTAGTTGATTTTAGAGTATTTTATACGCAAGAATACGACGCCAAAAAGTTAGAGATTAAGCTACACTTTTCGCTACAAGCTAGAAGTTGTAGATTATGCTAAATAGAATGATAACTGTAGAGTTTTTAGTCCAACGCCCAGTGAAGAAAAAAAGATACAGATCTGATGACATCAAGGTCATCAAAAAACAGCTAAGCAAGAGAAATATAAGCTTTGTTGCCGAGTCCAGTATCGGCATGAATTTGTGGATGACTTTTAAAAGGTGGGTGCGACGTCATAGTAATTCAGGGAGAAATCTCTCAAGCAAAATGATAATTAATGAGTCCAGGAGATTAGTAGAAGAACGAAAGATTAATAGCTTTTCGGGATCAGAAGGTCAGCCTTAAAGGTTCATGAATACTCAGGGTTTATCAACTCGTGCAAAAACATTCATTACACATAAATCGTGAAGAAAATATAATAGGATTTCAAAAATGTTTTACCAGAAGCGAGAAAGGAAACTAGTTTGGATTTGGTCTCCATAGAGTGGCCAAACGAAGCTTGGCTAATACTTCACCTACACACAACTAAAACATTTTTTTGAATATCCATGACAGAAATGTGCGTACGTGGAATGAATACACGCGCCTTTTATGCTGTTGAATGAAGGGAGTTTAATTTTCTGGAATAATATGACTTTTTTTTTTTATTTGCATAAAGATCTGTTTCAGCCATTTGAATATATATATATATATATATATATATATATATATATATATATATATATATATATATATATATATTATTCTTTTGTTCTTTTTTTCTAGTGTTACATCTCAGTTCGATATTTAATTTTCGAGCGTTTCCCATTTTGCTCATCTCTCATCCCTCTCTCTCTATATATAAAAAAAATTATGGAAAATAAAGAATAATATTTAAAAAAAAAAAAAGACATTCGGATTACTAACACACAAAAGAAAGAGAATGCCTCATATCGAGAAACATAAAGGAGAAAAAAAAATTAATTATTTTTAATATTATGTGGAAATCCCTTTGCCTGATGATGGTCGCGAGACCAGAAACTCGTGTAGTAAAATTATGGAATTTAAAGCATAATATTTTTTTTAAATCCCCATTACAACCAAAAACGTTTGCGGTATCTCTCTTCTTTTTTATATATATATATATATATATATATATATATATATATATATATATATATATATATATATATATGCGTAACAAAAATCACACTAGCTTTGAGAACACCGTAATTGATCGTAATGAATGTAAGATTACATGCTACAATGGCATCAAGAACAATGCAGAATCAAACATTGTCAAGCTTCATCAAACTAGGGGAAGGAATAAAATATCTGCTGCTGTTCCAGCCATATACTACAACAATCCACACTCTTGCACAATTTGTGGACTTCTTCAAAATAACTGTTAGAATAATACAATAGATTACCCACAATGCAACAATGACCTGTATATATAAAAAGTTGAGCAAAAATACAAAGGAAAATGTATACCTTGATGGTCACCTAACTACCAAGACAAAAGATTTTTGTTGGTTCCTCGCTCAATTGTGGCCATCAAAGGGGTCGCTGTCTTGGTAGTTAGGTGAACACATATAAGAGGTGATGTGATTGCAGAAACTGTCCTATAGCCACGAGACTCGGTTTTCCTACTTTTTTGTCTTGTTGCGAATTATACAAAATAGATAAAATTATTTGAACAGTATGAAAAATAGAAAAAAATCGAACAATTTACACAATATTAATAATCATTGTAGCATAGACTTTCATCTTTATAACTTGCTGCACTCGTTTTCTAAAGCTTTTGATGAAACTTGAACAAGTCTTTTCTGTAATTTTCTTTCATTCTTCAATCCTTACACGTTCTAATACCTGAAGGGTTTTTGTTGTTTGTTTGTTTGTTTTTTTTTTGTTTTTTTGTTTGTTTTTTTTTTTTTGCTGTAGATTTTCAATAGGTTTCAAGTCAGGACTCATTGAAGGCCATGGCAGAACTGTAACTTTCTTTTTCTGAAGCCACGCAGTTACTGTTTTAGACGTATGTTCGGAATCTTGCTGGAAAGTCAATTGCCGACCTAGATGAAGATTTTGCGATGATACTTGTAGATTTTCATTCAGAATTTTGATATAATCTGCAGATTTCATTATTCCTCTTATTGCAATTAATTTTCCAGAACCCCTCGAGCTAAAACAACCCCAAATCATCAACGAGTCACCTCCATCTTTTAATGTTGTCACTGTGTTCTTTGGGAGGAATGCATCACCTTTCTTGCGCCAAATCTTCTGTACATCATTATTATTTTTTTAAGCATTACGCCTCGAGCAAGGCGTGAAGCCACTAGGATGCAGGGGGGTTGCAGAATATTTGGAGCAAGAGAAGATAGGAGTGATAGAAGAAAGGATGAGGAGTAGGATAGTGGGTAGATCAAGGTAACAGGAAGTGTTGATGGACATTACATTTGAATAGTTGGAGATTATAGCTCTCAGGGAAACAGTAATTGGGAAGAGTGTTCGACAGGCGAGAGGTTCGAGGTATGAAGCTATTGGAGTAGAAGAGACGGCTACATTTAAAAGTTTCTACAGTGTAAGGGTGGGAGCGGGATGCCAGCCTCGTGGGGCGCTTGAATTCATGGAGTCATGGAGTGAAAGCAGCTCATCGGAGCAATTACCATGAAAGTATTTGTAGAAAAGACAGAGAGAGGTGAAGACGCGTCTGTGAGAGAGTGACTGTAGACGAGACGCTAGATCAGGGCCAATTATATTATAAATCCGTCTCTGGATCTTGTCAAGAGGTAAACAGAAGGTGCCCCAGATTATGCACCAAAAGCTCAATTTTTGTTTCATCAATCCATAGTACTTGTTCTCAAAAACAATTTTCTTTGTCCAAGAACGTTTTGGCGTAATTAAACCGAGCAAAAATGTGACATGGTTTGTGAAGAGGGGTTCGTCGTAGTCACTTTCCATAGGAAGGTCTTCTATCGTCTTGTAGTGGAGGGGTTCGCGAAGGATTCTCTACGTGAGCAGCTCGACTTGTCATAGGAGGAGT